GAGCCTTGCCCATCTTAGAGCAGAGGGAGAAGAGAGAGGACCACAGCTGGATGTTAAGGCTTCTGCTTGGGAAGGACACATGTCACACTAATGCCCAGAATGTGTTGGCCAGAGCCAGACGCACGGCCAAGCCTGACATAACTGGGGCAAGGAGGTGTCGTCCTTCCTCTGGGAAGGGAGAGCTGTTCGTGATCAATAATGTAATCCACCCCAGCGAACAACAGAATTAAAATATATAAGCTCAACCCTTAGGATCTTGGAGCTGAGTGTAGGTTGGTATTTTTAAGGTATAAATGGTCACATTCTTGGTTAGTGTTTAAAAAAAAAAACAGTGGTACTTAATAATCGTGCCTGGCTCTTGTGCTCAACAGCTGCGGCCACTGGGCTGCAACATCATGAATGTTTCCAGTGACGAACATGGGATTATTCCAGACTCCCTCAGAGAAACACTTTCCAAGTGGAAGCCAGAAGATTCAAGGAACCCTAAGAAAAACACCCCCAAATTTCTTTATACTGTCCCAAATGGCGACAACCCCTCTGGAAACTCACTAACAAGTGACCGCAAAAGGGCAATCTATGAGGTATTATAAAAGAATGTGTTCGTGTAGTTGTGTTACTGTTTCTTGTTGACTTTTGGAAGAGTACAGTGTAAGTTCCCTCTCTTACTAGAAAAATTTATGCCAATTTAGACATAATAGATTATTACCCTTTCATTAATTCTGAGATTTTTTTCTTTTCCCTTAATTAATGAGTTAATAGGAAAAAAATAACATTATTGGGCTTGCATTAAATTATGAAATTAGTTAATACTTGACCTCAAGTTTGGTTTTCCTAATTTTATATTTGTCTTGTTAACTTTTCTCTTCTTCCTACTCCATGTCATTCAGATTACAAAGAATTCTTTAAAAAATAAGAGTCATGCTCCTTTTGTGTAAAATCCCTTTGAGGTGCCTGTGATGCCTAACTCTTCATTATAAACGTTATTTTAAAGTAACAAACATATATTGAGCTCTACAGAAATCTTTGAAAAATAAGAGAAATGTGCCTTTTTTTTTTTTTTTTTTTTTTTTTTGAGACAGAGTCTCGCTTTGTTGTCCAGGCTAGAGTGAGTGCCGTGGCGTCAGCCTAGCTCACAGCAACCTCAAACTCCTGGGCTCAAGCAATCCTCCTGCCTCAGCCTCCCGAGTAGCTGGATACAGGCATACGCCACCATGCCGGCTAATTTTTAATATATATATCAGTTGGCCAATTAATTTTTTTCTATTTATAGTAGAGATGGGGTCTCGCTCTTGCTCAGGCTGGTTTTGAACTCCTGACCTTGAGCAATCCCCCACCTCGGCCTCCAGAGAGCTAGGATTACAGCGTGAGCCACGTGCCCAGCCAGAAATGTGCCTTTAAAAAGGCTCTTTCATGTACTAACTGTGCTCTTTTTATTATTTTTTTTTTATTTATTTTTTGAGACAGAGTCTCACTCTGTTGCCAGGCTAGAGTACCATGGTGTCAGCTAGCTCACAGCAACCTCAAACTCCTGGGCTCAAAGATCCTCCTGAGTATCGGGGATTACAGGCATACACCCATGCCTGGCTAATTTTTCTATATATTTTAGTTGTCAATTAATTTCTTTTCTATTTTTAGCAGAGACGGTCTCGCTCTGTTCAGGCTGGTTTTTGAACTCTTGGCCTTGAGCGATCCTCCCGCCTCGGCCTCCAGAGTGCTGGATTCAGAGTGTTACTTTGTTGGCCAGCTAGAGTGAGTGCTGTGTGTCAGCCTAGCTCACAGCAACCTCAAACTCCTGGGCTCAAGCAATCCTGCTGCCTCAGCTTCTGAGTAGCTGGGACTACAGGCATGCGCCACCATGCCAGCTAATTTTTGTATATATATTAGTTGGCCAATTAATTCTTTCTATTCTTAGTAGAGACGGGTCTTGCTCTTGCTCAGGCTGGTTTCTAACTCCTGACTCGAGCAATCCGCCGCCTCGGCCTCCCGAAGTGCTAGTTACAGGTGTGAGCACCGCGCCAGGCCCAAATTGTGCTCTTTATTTACCTTTACTACAAAATAGCTTTATAAGTACCAAGCCTTGTTGAACTTTATAGAATTTATTTACATGCAATGGATCGCAAGGAAGATTCAACCAGTTTCTTTTACTTGGAAAATTTATAGTTTCAAAATATTGTCTTATTCTTATTCTTGTCTTTAAAATAAGCCCTTCTGAGCTCTGTCCTGAGTTCTCTGTTTAATACTTCCGTAGACAGCCTGGCCCAGTTCTGTAAGTGATGACTGCTACATTGCCTGGTCCCTGCTCTTCTCTTCCCTAAGCTCAGATTTTGTAGCCAACTTTCTGCTTGATACCCACACAGATGTCTAATAGGTATTTCAAATTCACATGACCAACCCAAACTCTTAATCACAACCCTCCCATTCCCCACCCCACAAATAGTGTGAGCAGAGGAGCTCCCTTTATCCTCTTTCCCTTCTCCCTCCCTGGCCCCCACTCTAGTTCACCTGTGGACTCACCAAGTTATCCAATTCATCTTTTTTCTTCACCCCATTCTGTCCCTGTCTTCTAAGCTGCCCATCACCTCACTGGCCTCCTACAACACTGCCACTGCACCCTGCTGCTTTTCATCCTGGTGTCTAACCTGTCATGTCCCTCCCCTGTTGAAATGTCAGTGTACGGCCAGGCTCGTGTTCTGTTACAGCCTTCTATGGCTTCCCTTTGCAGTTTAAATAAAGTCCACATTCCTTTATCTGGCTCACAAAGCTATGTGACATGGTCAGTCTGTTCTCAGCCTTATCTTGTACTCTTCTTGCTGCAGCCCACTTGGGGCAGCACACTGGCCTTTCTAGCCCTGAAACATGCCAAGCTGTCTGCTAAACCAAGAGGCTTTGCCCCACCTGTCCCTCAGTCTAAGTTTCTCTTCCCTGGTATTCGCAGGGCTGAATCCTTCTTGTCATTTTGAACTCCGGTGTGTATATATATGTTGGTGAGGAGGGCTTCCCAATGATTCGACTGAAATGAGCTACCCTACACTCTCTCTTTCCAATTGTCACCTGTCGTAATGCTCTCCCCCACTTTAACACCCATCTAATATTTCTTCTTCTCAGTATCATTGGCTTATGTCTGTTCTCTTTCCCACTAGAGTGTTAAGTTCCATGAGAAAAGGGCCTTAGTGGCTGTTTATCTCTTTATCTTCTGTCTGTCTAGGACAGTAAGCTCAATTTTGAATTAATGAATGAATACAATTATGATACTATAAAGAATGATGATTCCAAATGACTTTAATTTGGATAGCTCTTAAGAAATATATTACTTAAGAATAAATATATTGCTTTAACCTTTTTAGCTTGCAAGAAAATATGATTTCCTCATAATAGAAGATGATCCTTACTATTTCTCCAGTTTAACAAGGTAAGTGATGATATGAACTCATGTCACTATTAGAAGATAACTGTAAAGTTATTGCATGCACTGGAATATTAGCCTGGCTGCTGAGTCAGTTAGTCCACTTTAACATTGAAAACTAAATAATTAAGATTAATTTGCTGCTGCTTCAATTTCAGCTTCTGCTTTTACCATGGGATTAATGCTTTTCATTTTTGGTATTGCTGCTTTTCCAGAAATTACTTATCTTCAAAATAGTAGCTACCCCAAAGGCAATTACAGCAACAACAAAAATAAATAAATGGGCCTGATGAACTTAAAATGTTTCTGTACAGCAAAGGAAATAATCAACAGAGCAAATAGACAACCTACAGAATGGGAGAAATATTGAAAACTGTATATACACATCTGATAAAGGGCTAATGTCTAGAATCCACAAAGGACTCAAAATCAATAAGAAGATCAACTCTATTAAAAAGGGGCGAAAGACATGAACAGAAATTTTCAGAAAAAGGTAGACAAATGGCCAGGAAACATGAAAATGCTCAATGTCACTAATCATCGGGTAATGCAGATTAACACTATGAGATGCCACTTTACCTCTATGACAATGGCATTATTAAAAGTCAACGAACGGTAGATGGTGGTATGGATGCAGACAGAAAGGAACATTATACACTGTTGGTAGGAATACATATTGTATAACCTCTATTGAAAATATGGAGATTTCTTAAAGACTATAGCAATCCCTCTGCTTGGTATCTACCAAGAGTAAAGAAATCTTCATAGAAAAAGATACTGTGCTTAAATGTTATGCAGTATAATTCACAACTGTAAACAATGTAGGTAGAATCACCCTGTGTGCCCATCAATTCATGAGTGGATGAAGAAATGTGATACACACACACACACACACTCTCAGCCATGAAAAGCAATGAATAATGTTTGCAGCAACTTGGATGGGAACTAGAGACTATTATCCTCAGTGAAGTATTTCAGGAATGGAAAACCCAAGCACCATATGTCCTTACTAATAAGTGGGAGCTACATGCTGGGCGCACCTGGCACAAAGGGTATAGAAGACGTGGAAAACCAAGAAGGTGGTAGGGTGGATATGGGACAAAAGCTTACCTGTTGGTACAATGAATACTGTCCTGGTGGCAGGCACCCAAAAAGTGCTGACGTAAGCATTATACAAGTATCCATATATCAAAAACATTGTACCACCTTCATATTTTGAAAAAATACACTGAAGCAGGAAGAGGCTGTGGCTCAATAATGTCCATTTGGACACAGGAGAGCATCACAGGCAGTGTCACATATTTGCCATCATGTCATTTGTGTCCGGATCTTACCTGGCAACATAATGGGCTTTTAGAGTCACTCTCACTGCATTTTTATACATACACACACAACTTTTCCTGACTACTGTGTTCGAACAGACAACAGTGCACAGATCACCTAATAGCTCCCATCTTCAATAAAAACTCCACCACTCTTTATCTTCCTCAAGTGCTTGTCTAGAGAGAACATACACTTGGATCATCTGTCTGACTCTCCACTGTCCTCTTTACACTCCGCCTCAAGCCACAGAATTCTTTAGGTGAAAGAATGTAACCATCGTCACCACTTACACCAAGGCATGGCTTCCTCAGGGAAGCCCTCCCTGAATCCCTGAATCCCCACGTCTTCCTACAGTGAGCTCGCATAGCCTTGTTTGTCTACACTTAATAATAGCACTCGTCACTGTTTTTAATTACACGTTTATTAGATAGTTATTTGATTTGTGTCTAGCTCTCACTCGGACTGGTAGCTCCATCAGAGTACGAACAGTATCATTTTGCTCATCATTTTATTTCTAGTACCTTATACAATCCTGGCTTATAGTAGATATTTAAGCAGCAACAAAAGAAATAAATGAATTTTAGGAGCCAGTTATGTTCTTTTTCTCCTTACTGAAAACCAGGGGTCTTAAAACTATGGCTTGAGAGCCAAATACAGCTCGTCTTATTTTGTAAATAAAGTTTTATTAGAACCCAGTGACACCCATTCATTAATATATTGTCTGCAGCTGCTTTCTCAGCGTAGAGGCAGAGATGAGTAGTTGCAACAGACAAACTATGGCTTACAAAATATTTCTTATTTGGCCCTTTACTGAAAATTTGCCAACTATTCTAGAATCATATGAACTCAAAATATAAAAGGAGTTCTGAGCATGAAAACAGTACATACTTAGGTTTACTAACAAGCTGACCTCTGCTTCTTTTGTTAGGTATTTGAAATGATCATTAACCCTGGAGATAATATCCTCGTAAATGAACCTGTTTATGCAGGAACACTTCAAGCTGTGAGTATACATTTTTTATAAAAGGCATCTCTAATAAAAAATAGGAAGAAATCGTTGTACCTTTAGAATTATCCACTGAAAAATAATATAGTATCTTTCATCTGTAAATAGGAGAATCTTAAATGATATATGTAAAATATGTGAACTATACTTCTGCTTTACATTTCTTTTTTTTTTTTTTTTTGAGACAGAGTCTCACTTTGTCACCCAGGCTAGAGTGAGTGCCATGGCATCAGCCTAGCTCACAGCAACCTCAAACTCCTGGGCTCAGGCGATCCTCCTGTCTCAGCCTCCCAAGTAGCTGGGACTACAGGCATGCGCCACCATGCCCGGCTAATTTTTTGTATATATATTTTTAGTTGGCCAATTAATTTTTTTTTCTATTTATAGTAGAGATGGGGTCTCGCTCTTGCTCAGGCTGGTTTTGAACTCCTGACCTTGAGCAATCCACCCACCTCGGCCTCCCAGAGAGCTAGGATTACAGGCGTGAGCCACCGTGCCCAGCCAGAAATGTGCCTTTTAAAAAGGCTCTTTCATGTACCTAACTGTGCTCTTTATTATTTTTTTTTTATTTTATTTTTTGAGACAGAGTCTCACTCTGTTGCCCAGGCTAGAGTACCATGGTGTCAGCCTAGCTCACAGCAACCTCAAACTCCTGGGCTCAAAGATCCTCCTGAGTATCGGGGATTACAGGCATACACCACCATGCCTGGCTAATTTTTTCTATATATTTTTAGTTGTCCAATTAATTTCTTTCTATTTTTAGCAGAGACGGGGTCTCGCTGTTGTTCAGGCTGGTTTTGAACTCTTGGCCTTGAGCGATCCTCCCGCCTCGGCCTCCCAGAGTGCTAGGATTACAGAGTGTTACTTTGTTGCCCAGGCTAGAGTGAGTGCTGTGGTGTCAGCCTAGCTCACAGCAACCTCAAACTCCTGGGCTCAAGCAATCCTGCTGCCTCAGCTTCCTGAGTAGCTGGGACTACAGGCATGCGCCACCATGCCCAGCTAATTTTTTGTATATATATTAGTTGGCCAATTAATTTCTTTCTATTTCTAGTAGAGACGGGGTCTTGCTCTTGCTCAGGCTGGTTTCTAACTCCTGACCTCGAGCAATCCGCCCGCCTCGGCCTCCCGAAGTGCTAGGATTACAGGTGTGAGCCACCGCGCCAGGCCCAAATTGTGCTCTTTATTTAACCTTTTACTACAAATAGCTTTATAAGTACCAAGCCCTTGTTGAACTTTATAGAATTTATTTACATGCAATGGGATCGCAAGGAAGAGTTCAACCAGTTTCTTTTACTTGGAAAATTTATAGTTTCAAAATATTGTCTTATTCTTATTCTTGTCTTTAAAAATAAGCCCCTTCTGAGCTCTGTCCTGAGTTCTCTGTTTAATACCTTCCGTAGACAGCCTGGCCCAGTTCTGTAAGTGATGACTGCTACATTGCCTGGTCCCTGCCTCTTCCTCTTCCCTAAGCTCCAGATTTTGTAGCCAACTTTCTGCTTGATACCTCCACACAGATGTCTAATAGGTATTTCAAACTTCACATGACCAACCCAAACCTCTAATCCACAACCCCTCACATTCCCCAACCCCATAAATAGTGTGAGCAGAGGAGCTCCCCTTTATTCCTCTCTTTCCCTTCTCCCTCCCCTGGCCCCCACATCTAGTTCACCCTGTGGACTCACCAAGTTATCCAAATTCATCTTTTTTCTTCACCCCATCATTGTCCCTGTCTTCTAAGCTGCCACTCACCCTCACTGGCCTCCTACAACACTGCCCACTGCACCCTGCTGCTTTTCATCCTGGTGTCTAACCTGTCATGTCCCTCCCCTGTTGAAATGTCAGTGTACGGCCAGGCTCGTGGTTCTGTTACAGCCTTCTAGTGGCTTCCCTTTGCAGTTTAAATAAAGTCCACATTCCTTTATCTGCCTCACAAAGCTATGTGACATGGTCAGTCTGTTCTCAGCCTTATCTTGTACTCTTCTTGCTGCAGCCCACTTGGGGCAGCCACACTGGCCTTTCTAGCCCTGAAACATGCCAAGCTGTCTGCTAAACCAAGAGGCTTTGCCCTCACCTGTCCCTCAGTCTAAGTTTCTCTTCCCTGGTATTCGCAGGGCTGAATCCTTCTTGTCATTTTGAACTCCGGTGTGTATATATATGTTGGTGAGGAAGGGCTTCCCAATGATTCAACCTGAAATAGCTACCCTACCACTCTCTCTTTCCAATGTCACCTGTCGTAATGCTCTCCCCAGCACTTTAACCACCCATCTAATATTTCTTCTTCTCAGTATCCATTGGCTTATGTCTGTTCTCTTTCCCACTAGAGTGTTAAGTTCCATGAGAACAAGGGCCTTAGTGGCTGTTTATCTCTTTATCTTCTGTCTGTCTAGGACAGTAGAGGCTCAATTTTTGAATTAATGAATGAATACAATTATGATACTATTAAAGAATGATGATTCCAAATGACTTTAATTTTGGATAGCTCTTAAGAAATATATTACTTTAAGAAATAAATATATTGCTTTAACCTTTTTTAGCTTGCAAGAAAATATGATTTCCTCATAATAGAAGATGATCCTTACTATTTTCTCCAGTTTAACAAGGTAAGTGATGATATGAACTCATGTCACTATTAGAAGATAACTGTTAAAGTTATTGCACTGCACTGGATATTAGCCTGGCTGCTGAGTCAGAGTTAGTCCACTTTAACATTGAAACTAAATAAATTAAGATTAATTTGCTGCTGCTTCAATTTCAGCCTTCTGCTTTTACCATGGGATTAATGCTTTTCATTTTTGGTATTGCTGCTTTTTCCAGAAATTACTTATCTTCAAAATAGTAGCTACCCCAAAGGCAATTACAGCAACAACAAAAATAAATAAATGGGCCTTGATGAACTTAAAATGTTTCTGTACAGCAAAGGAAATAATCAACAGAGCAAATAGACAACCTACAGAATGGGAGAAAATATTTGAAAACTGTATATACACATCTGATAAAGGGCTAATGTCTAGAATCCACAAAGGACTCAAATCAATAAGAAGAAGTCAACTCTATTAAAAAGTGGGCGAAAGACATGAACAGAAATTTTTCAGAAAAAGGTAGACAAATGGCCAGGAAACATGAAAAAATGCTCAATGTCACTAATCATCGGGTAAATGCAGATTAACACTATGAGATGCCACTTTACCTCTATGACAATGGCCATTATTAAAAAGTCAACGAACGGTAGATGGTGGTATGGATGCAGACAGAAAGGAACATTATACACTGTTGGTAGGAATACATATTAGTATAACCTCTATTGAAAATATGGAGATTTCTTAAAGAGCTATAGCAATCCCTCTGCTTGGTATCTACCCAAAGGTAAAGAAATCATTTCATAGAAAAAGATACCTGTGCTTAAATGTTTATTGCAGTATAATTCACAACTGTAACAATGTAGGTAGAATCACCCTGTGTGCCCATCAATTCATGAGTGGATGAAGAAAATGTGATACACACACACACACACACTCTCAGCCATGAAAAGCAATGAAATAATGTTTGCAGCAACTTGGATGGAACTAGAGACTATTATCCTCAGTGAAGTATTTCAGGAATGGAAAACCAAGCACCATATGTCCTTACTAATAAGTGGGAGCTACATGCTGGGCGCACATGGGCACAAAGGGATATAAAGGACGTGGAAAACCAAGAAGGTGGTAGGGTGGGATATGGGACAAAAGCTTACCTGTTGGGTACAATGAATACTGTCCTGGTGGCAGGCACCCCAAAAGTCGTGACGTAAGCATTATACAAGGTATCCATATATCAAAAACATTTGTACCACCTTCATATTTTGAAAAAAATACACTGAAGCAGGAAGAGGCTGTGCTCAATAATGTCCATTTGGACACAGGAGAGGCATCACAGGCAGTGTGTCACATATTTGCCATCATGTCATTTGTGTCCCGGATCTTACCTGCAACATAATGGGCTTTTAGAGTCACTCTCACTGCATTTTTATACATACACACACAACTTTTCCTGACTACTGTGTTCGAACAGACAACAGTAGCATAAGACAACCAATGCCCAATTCCTCAAAATCCACCACTTTCTTTGTTCTCAGTGCTGCAGAGAACATACACTTGGATTCAATTCCCCATTTAAATATACAGAGAAGAAACAAAAACTTTGTTTTTTTGTTTTTTTTGAGACAGAGTCTCACTTTGTTGCCCTGGCTAGAGTGAGTGCCGTGGCATCAGCTTAGCTCACAGCAACCTCAAACTCCTGGCTCAAGCAATTCTCCTTCCTCAGCCTCCCGAGTAGCTAGGACTACGGGCATGTGCCACCATGCCCGGCTAATTTTTTCTATATATATATTAGTTGGCCAATTAATTTCTTTCTTTTTATAGTACAGACGAGGTCTTGCTCTTGCTCAGGCTGGTTTCGAACTCCTGACATCGAGCAATCTGCCCGCGTCAGCCTCCCAGAGTGCTAGGATTACAGGCGTGAGCCACCGCGCCTGGCCAAAACTTTGTTTTTTTGAAAGAGGATCTCACTCTGTCACCCAGGCTGGAATATGGTGGCATCCTTATAGCTCACTGTAATCTCAAACTGCTGGACTCAAGTGATCCTCCTGCCTAAGCTTCCTGAGTAGCTGGGGCTACAGGTGTGCACCACCACACTTTTTGTAGAGACAGGGTCTTGCTCTGTCGCTCAGGCTGTGCTACAACTCCTGGGATCTAGTGATCTTCCTGTCTAAGCCTCCCACGGTGCCAGGATCCACAGGTGTGAGCCACCACGGCCCACCTGAAACTCTTGATTTCTCTATATGATTTTCCAGAACGTCACTTCTTTCTACTCAGACTCCCACTCTCACTGTGCCCATCACCCCTGTTCTCATTTGTCACTCCATTTGAAGTAAATATTGTAGTCAGTATGTACTGTTGACCCCATTTCTCGCCTTCATTCTTATCTTTCCAGTTGGTCCTAAGGATCAGCGTCTCTCCTGCACAATTGCGAGTGCTCCTGGCCCTCCACGTTTTGGTCTTGTGCAAACTTCTCTTTCCTGACTTCTTCCTTTAAGTCTGTTGATCCTGGGTTTCAACCTTTGTGGCAAGGAGGGCCTGTTTGAAGTTTCTCTAACTGTATAATAACGGCATCTGGCGCACATGAAGGAGCCTTGTGTGTGTGTTTTGGCAAAAAAGCCATGAAGACAGGCAGGTGCTTAAAGAATCTGCATCTCTGTTCCTGCCCCATGTCAAAGGGTTGAAATAAAGGTGAGAGAATACTTGTGCTGTTGTATCCAAAAACATGCCCTGTCCACTGTGTATGCAAAGTAATCATATGGTGACTAACAGAGTTCTCAAACCAACAGTTGTGTTTTTGTTTGTTTGCCTTTTCATTTTAAGCCCTGGGCACCAACCTTCCTTTCCATGGATGTTGACGGGCGTGTCATCAGAGCTGACTCTTTCTCAAAGGTCCTTTCTGCGGGGTAAGGCCACGTCTCCACCGTGAGGCTCCGTCCAGACAGCCAGACACTGTGCCTCAGTGTCTTTTAGTCCACACAATTCTTTTCACTGAAGATGCTTGTACTCCTCTTACCCTAAAACACAAGTTTGGTTATTAATATTCACATAGGCGTTTTCTCTCTTCATTGATCTCCACTGGTCAAACACACTTGGCCATTGATCTAAAGTTGCAGTGGGACTGGTTGGGCTTTTCATGTCATGTGTGAGAGAGCACATTTGGAAGGAAATATGCAGTCAGACTTGTTTTAGATGTACTCTTCTATTTAAAGTTGTATTGGAAATAAGAATTAATTAGCTTTATTAGTTCTTTTTAATTGTCTAGATCCATTTGTCCCTAGGGCATAACTCTCTTCCTAATGAAAGTAGGAAAGGGATATGTAATAATTGTTAATGAGGGATTGGGAGTGTGCCTTTTCTCTTTCTGTGTAGGTTGAGAATGGGGTTTCTAACTGGTCCAAAACCGTTGATAGAGAGAGTTGTTCTTCACACACAAGTGTCAACATTGCACCCCAGTACTTTTAACCAGGTAAGGACAATTTAGGCAATGGGTTTTTTTAATGAGATCACAATAAAAGATAACAAGAATTCTCAACCTGCTAGTGAATCATTGTTTTCCTTCCTGATTTATTATACATCACTGACTGTATAAACTTGGTTCATCTTGTTACATCTTCATGGTGGTTTACGTGTAATGCAAGAGAGGTTTGCTTTTACCTTTGACAAACATCAAATTTTTAGAGTACGAACCATGACTTTTATTATTGTTTTATTTACTTTAGCTCATGATATCACAGCTTCTACACCAGTGGGGAGAAGAGGGCTTCCTGGCTCACGTGAACAGGTATTGAATCATTAAATCGTTAAAACATTTATGAGCAAAATAGGAGCCCAGTGGACATAGTACAGATCACCCAGAATGTTGGTTGTTTAGTCTTCCTTCCTCACCCTAAGACAGCAAGAGGAATAGTCTATCAGAAGTCAGAAGTCCACTCACTTTATTTGCTCTTCACCTAGAAAGTCTTTTCAGGAGCATCCCGGGGATGGCTTGAAAGCAGTCTGCCCACACTCAAGGCAATGCAAAATTCCCACCAGCTTAGCATTCCCTTAGTTAACTCATTGAAGAGGACAAACTATGCATGCACATAAATGTTTTATTTAATAATCAACGATGAGGGACACATGACACAGGATTTGGCTCAGGCACAGATGACTGAAAACATAATTTGCCTAAAGAATGAGTATATTGGTAGAAGTGAGGAGTTATTTTAGTTATGTAAATGGGATACCTCCTAAGCCGTTCAGAAATAAGGAGAGACGGGGTGTCCTCATTCCCAGACCAGGGACTCACCACGTTAGTGGTGTTTTCCTTGATTCTGCGTGTTCTCCTACCCTGCAGTTGATAACCATTGTTTCAGATAACGAATCACAAAGATTGATCCTGCTACATCCCTTGCTTCTAGGTTCCATATTTTACATAGAAATGGGCTTTTCCTTTATTAAGTTTCATTTTTATATTATTCCACAATAAATGAAGAAAGACAGTGGTAAAAAGTTTCATCACCAGATGATAAGCAAATATGCTCTGTTCTCTTATCAAGTATTCAACATTTCCATTGAGATAGAAAACAAATTCTTACAGCCTGGACTCCAGAGCCTTTTTTGTTACTTCAATCAGTGTATTGAGTACGTCCTTCTCATTGTTTCCTTCTTCTAGGGTTATTGATTTCTACAGGAACCAGAGAGATGCAGTATTGGCAGCTGCAGACAAGTGGTTAGGTGGTGAGTAGAACTTACACACCCTTATGATAAAAGTAGCACCTGTGTGAGTGGGTGGTGATTGCCACATGTGATTAACGGTCTTGGTGGAGAGAAACCACTCCAGGAGTATTCTTACCAATGACAGGGTACCCAGTAAGTCATCCCACAAGTCACTACGTACAAACCTATTTCTTTACCATTTTCATCTCTGCTAAAAATTTGTCATGTAAAAAAAAGAAAAAGATCTGAAAACCAACCACCAATCACTTACTTAAACCTAAATAACATCCATAACCAAAAATTTAGACTAATTTCAAAATTTTGCTTCAAATAGAATTGTCAAACAAGTCATATACTCCTTTTGTAACTAATCTGTATAAAGATGAAAATCTCTCCTTATAACATATTTGCCTTCTAATCATGAACCTACTTTATCTAATATTATCTATTACTAATTTGATTGTAAGATGTTTTTGATTTATTTTTTGTTATGGAAAAAGGCAAAATAATTAAATGCCTTTAATTATATTATTAAAATGCCTTTGATATAAGTCATAGTAAACCAAACATACTAATTTCTTTTTCATCATATCTCTTTCCATTTAAAGTCTTGGTAAAAATAGAATCATTATGTTTTTGATAAGAGTACTCTACTAGCCCAGGTACGGTGTCTTACTCCTATAACCCAGCGCTAGTGGAGTGCCAGGCAGGAGGATACAACGACCAGGAGTTTGAGACCAGCTTGAGCAACACAGTGACCCTAAGAATAAAAAAATTAGCCAGGCATGGTGGCATGTACCTTAGTCCCAAATGTTTGGGAGGCTGAGGTAGAAGGATCACTTGAGCTCAGGAGTTTTAGGTTATAGTGAGCTATGATGACACCACTATACCCTATCCCAGGCAACTGAGCAAGAGTCTCAAAAAAAAAAAAAAAAAAAGGTACTATTCTACCTCTTACAGAGTAGTGCTGAAAAAAATGTTTTAATCGATAACATTTTCTTTTTAGAAAAGACAGTAATGAAATCAAAGTATCCTGTCTTCTTGATCTCTCTATTCTAATACTCAGTGAAACTTAACGCCTACAAATGTCTCTGGAATTCCTGAATTATGCAAGTCTAGGCAGGGCCCAGCTAAATAAAGGAGGGAGGCTCACTCTCACCCCCTCCCCCACCCACACTGACTCAGAAATAAAACAGTGAACATCAGTTTTCAGGGCTCTTAAAATGACAGTTTTTGAGATTCTATCACTAAAGAAACTTGTCGGAAACAGTCATTGGAAATTACTACATTGTGCCATGTAACATTCTTGATATCATCCAAAATCCTTCCTTCAGAAGACATTTGTTCTCTGCTTTTATTTCTAGATTTGGCAGAATGGCATGTTCCTACTGGTGGAATGTTTTTATGGATTAAAATTAAAGGCATTTCTGATGCAAAACAACTGATTGAAGAAAAAGTAATTAAGAAAGAGGTAAAATTGGGAGGTGAGGGATGGGGAACCCTAAAGCAAAGTTATATTTTTTCTTTAAGGTCATTTTTTACTTGAATGGAAATGAAGAGTTATTTCTTGCTGCCCACCACTCAGCTCATAATGTTCTGATATTAGATATGTTATCTCATTATTAAAATCATACTAGGTTTTTGGGTTACATAATTATTCATCTGGCCTAACTTAATGGAAATGCAGTCATTAGCATAGTGGCTGAGAGCAGTCCCTGCAGCCCCCTCCTTGAGTTGGAGTCCCAGCTCCTCGCCTTCCTGGTTGTGTGGCTCTGGGTCAGTTCCCTCCTGGTGCTTCATCTGTAAGATAGAGACAGTGAGAATCCCTCCCTCATGGTGCTGTGGTAATAAATGGTGTAATACGTGCAGAGTACTGAGAAAATGCTCAGTGAGTATTAGCCATTAGTATTTAAAATGGAGGGATTTTTTTTCCTGCTTATGAAAGTACAGTATACTCATGGTAGGAAATTTGGAAAATGCATAAAAGGACAATGAAAAAAAATTTAAATACCCCATATTTTCACCACCTAGATTTGTGACCATTTGTGGTATAGTTTCTTGAAGAGCTTGTATGTGTTCTGGTATTGTGGATGGGCACTTATTTCACATGGTCAACGTTACACAGAAAAGTTTGCTTCCTGATATTTTCACTGAAAATTAACTCATGGGAATGTCTTCTAGTTTTTCTTTTCTTCTACTTTTATATTTATAAATTTGTAAGTCTGCATAGTCTTCATTTGGGGGCATTGACTAACCTGAAAATGCTAAATGTTTTTCTATGTCACTTTCCAGTTTACCAAATAAATTTTGCCTTCTCCATTAATTAATTCCATCATCATGTCTGTCAATCTTGTGTAAACACTGAGGTCTGTTTCTGGAATGACTTGTCTTGAAGCAGTGAGTACTAAAGAACAGGTTGGGGAGACAGTGACCAAGTGCTATGCTAGTGCCCAGGACACAGGTGCTCTGGAAGGGAGACCTGGAGACGGCCTGTCTGGGCTGCAGCCCCCGCTCCATACCTGGAGAAAGTCTCTCCACACCTGGGGAAAGTCGTCGTCCTCTCCAGCCACCTCCCTGGAGGGCGGGACTGATGGCGTGTTAATTATTCTAATGCTAGTCCCAGCATGCAGTGGGTACTTAATAAATATTTAACTACCTTATTTTATAAATACATGTTAATATAACAAATTGAGTTGATACATTCTTGCTTTTCTATCGCTGGCATCATCATCAAAAACATTTGGTAGGTGGCTGGCTGTGAGTATCTGTGAGCTGGGTGCTGAGGATGCAGACTCCATGTTTCACTGCACGTTTCTCTGTTCCCTGCATTTATTCCTCACGTCCTGTCTCATGTGCCTTTGCCTTGTCCACATAGTCTCCACCTTCATCACAGCACCCTAGCCCAGCTGTAAGCCCAGCTCTTGTTTATCTTGCAGAGAGATGATTACCATCCTCTCCTCCTCTTACAGCTCCTTCCTTCTAGTACATAACACAATCTTTGCACCACGGCTTTCATCTCATTATTAATGGGGACAGAGAAACCCGCCTTCTGCCTGCAGATCTTTTCCCTAAATCACTTCCCTCCCAGCTCCTCTGGTTTACAGTGCAGTGCCCACATTTACACTGTGCAGCAACAGGCAGCTACTCAGTGCTTATGAAGGTCATCATTGTGCTAGCTAATGCTGCCATGAAAGATAAACTGCAAAATCTCAGAGACTTAACACAATGCAAGTTTATTTCTGACTCCCATAAAACTCAAAGAGGAGACCTGCCGGCAACTGTGCTCCACCAGTGGTTCAGAGAGCCCGGTTCCTTCCATCTCGTTGCTGTTCAGTCTTCGGCACACGGACTCCAAGCTCGCTACAGACTGGAAAGAGTCCGTGTAATCTCACAGGGGAAGATCTTTGTGAGCCAGGCCTAGAAGTAGCACACGCAACTTCAGCAACATCCACTGAGTAGAAGTCTCTCTCGCGGCCACACACGACTAGAAAGAGGCCAGAGGATGAGCGTGTCTGTGTGCAGGAAGAGGAGGTCCTGGAGTCGCAGTCAGCGCGCTGTCTCTGCCACGGTGTCACGAGAACAGCCGTCGTTCCCACCACCACGTCTTCACCCACTTACTGAGCATTTTTATTCCTTCACTTTCTGCATTAAATTTTTTTTACCTCCCTTCAGTTGTTCGAATGTACAAATTTTCTTCCCATCGCAGGGTTTTATACGCCGTATCTTCTCCCTCAAGTACTGTTCTCCATTTTTTGCCTGGCCGACACACACTTCTCTTTCTGGTCCCAGCTTAAAACTCACTTTCAAACTTAATAACTTAAAAATGGTATCTCATTACTCAATTTTATATTATTTTTCTAGTTAGGGTAAATGTTTATGATTATTTCTATTTCTTTAGTAAGCTCTCCTTTGCATGTTAAATCTAGAATTTGAGTGTTTTCTTCTGTTTCTGTGGATTCTTAATATATCAACAAGAGTTGGCATTTGCCATATTTCTTGTAAACCTTTTCCTGTTTCTATACGTATAGTTTTGTTTTTTGCATGACATATGCAATATTTATGTAAGTTAGGATTTTTTCTTATGATTTCTTGAACTGCATTCAAACTTAAAACATCCTTCCCACTCTATGATTAGGTTTACCTGTATTTTCTTGTAGTTTTTCTTTAATGGCACATTACTTATTTTCCACAACCTCTCCTAGGTGTTTATGCTTCCAGGAAATGGCTTCTACGTCGATAGCTCAGCTCCTAGACCTTACGTGAGAGTGTCCTACTCTTCAGTATCTCCAGACCAGATGGACGTGGTGAGTACAACAGTCTCTCCAGAGTAACTTAGTGTGTATGTTTACTTTGTGAATTAGAACATTACTTAACGCCTTTTTAGGTTTCTAAACACCAGATATTAGTTGACCAGTCAGGAAGCACCATTAAAAGACTCATTGTAAGGTCAGGAGTTTGAAACTAGCCTGAGCAAGAGCGAGACCCTGTCTCTACTATAAAATAAAAAGAAATTAATTGGCCAACTAATATATATAGAAAAAAATGAGCCGGGCATGGTGGCGCATGCCTGTAGTCCCAGCTACTCGGGAGGCTGAGGCAGGAGGATCGCTTGAGCCCAGGAGATTGAGGTTGCTGTGAGCTAGGCTGATGCCACAGCACTCACTCTAGCCTGGGCAACACAGTGAGACTCTGTCTCAAAAAAAAAAAAAAGACTCGTTGTACTTTGTTATTAGACTTCTGTAAACAAATGAGACTGAGACGGAGTTAAAGTTTTTTGTCTTTGTGAATAATTTCTAGAACAGTGCTGGGATATTACCAACACGTTAGGAGGAAAATCTCTTTCCTTCCTTCATTGAATTACCATGAGCCAAAAGTACAAATTCATGACAGCCATCAGTCTCCTTCTTGAAGAAAAAGTTATTAGCAGGGTCAAGTAGAATAATATTCTTAAATTAATCATGATCCAGTTTTAACCAAAATAACAAGAAACAAAGAAACAATGTCCTAAGGACTGTGTATCTGGAAATCCAAACAGAAGAGCTATAAATCAAATAGGGCTATTAAACTTGAGGAGAGTTCATACTCATTCTTGCGTTGGCTATTTTTGGTGTGTTCCTTATATACTTGCTGTGTCATGCCATTAAATGTGCTTTTGATAAGCTTACTCTGCTTTTATGTAAATAGAGTCAGGCAATTGAAACTATAGAGAATGTATATGCAGGTGGAGATTATGTAAAAACATAAAATAATTTGATATAAGTAAAATAGAAAATGATAAATCTTGAGATCCATTAAAACAAAGGGTAAATTCTGGAAGTCTGATGTACTTCTATGTACATATCTTAGTAGGCATTGAAGGCATCCTGCCCACATAAAGCTGATGTTAAACTTGACTTTTCATTGCCTTACTTCAAGTGGATACTTTGGATTTTTAAAGTTATGACAGGCTTTTCCAAAGTAACATCCTAATTTAAGTAATTCTTATCTCTTTTTCTCTTTTAGGCCTTCAAGATATTAGCCCAAACCATAAAAGAATCTTTATGAAAAAAGGGCAGCAAGGCACCCGTTTTGCTGGCGAGGATCATAGCTAAGGCAGTGTGATTTTTACTGCAAGCAGCTGCTTGCTTTGGTGGTTTTCTGATTCTGGCAGAAGTAGTGAAATGCTGGGACTAGAAATACTTCCTGGAAGCTCCATCTAATTTTTCGGCCATTCCAGCAATTCTGGAAACTACAGAATACATGATAATACTTTTTTTTAACCAGCTAGAGTAGTTTTCATTATCTGCAACTGAATGGCAATCAGGGAGGTGAGGTGTGTGAGGGGGTCTCCACGACCACCCTCAGCTGGACGAGCTGCTTAGTGGACTCATGTAATTGTGCATGGAGCAAAGTCTGGAGGAGACCAGACACAGGTTTCCCTCTAATGCAGTCACATGTGTGCTTAATTCCTCCAGCCACGGCGCAGGACAACACATGCAACGTGTTGTCAGCCAGAGCTGGCCTGAGCCTGGTTTTCCAGGGTGTTTATTGGGGGCCCGTCAGGGACGCATAGAGTGCCTGCATGACTCACCTCACTTACTGAAGCTCCAGCCCGGGGAGGGAAAGCAGGTGTTTGCCGTAAATCAGGTTGCCAGTGTAAACTCTGGAAAAACTGGTGCAGTAGGGCTCAAGGCCCCAGCATGCAGAACACTCTTACCAGTCAAAATATTGCCAGGGCTCAGTTCCTAGGAGCTGGCCAAGGGTCAATCAGAAAAATAGCCCTTTCTTGGGAATGTGCATTGTTTGAGCAACCCAGATCTGTGCAGGTAACCTGTCCTCACCACGGAGCCCACTCTTAAACATTTATAGTAAAGAATTATGAAAGATATGGAGGACACTAAAAAAAGATGGAGATAGTAACTGTAGTTTAAAATAGCAAACAGCCGGGGTTAGGGGTAGAGTTCTTGTGATTAAAGGTCTCACAGTAGGAACATGGTTGTCAGTTAGGTTCGTCCACTTAACTAAATTGTAGACAACCACTAAAACACCATTGTACAGGAGTATTCGTTTTATAGAGCATTGTGGTAAAATGATTCCAATATAATATGGAATAAAAAATCAGGGTATAGAAAGTATAGACATAGTCTAAATACAACTATGTGAAAACTTAGAAAATGGCAACAATCAGATAATTTTTTGTTTGTTTTCATAATGTTCTATAGGATGACTCTGTGTTTATAATTTAAAAATAAATCTATCTTTTAACACCTTAAGCAAACTAACGGCAGAACACCGTTTTCAGTTGGGTGAGCAGAGGTTCCTACAGGCAGCGGTAAAACACATCTAGGGACAGTGAGGGGCAACTCCCATGTGACAGGACATCATATTGAAAGTGACAGTCAGTGTGAGTCTGGACACAACTTACGGAACAACTTACGTGGCTTAGTTTGCTGTTGGTGGCCTGTGTGGCTTCTGTGTGGAAGCCCAGCTGTCCCAGCCACGGTCTGTGGGGATGGAAGCCACCGGAGCGCCTCATGATGCTCAGTGCGGGAATTGCTTGTTGGCCTACAGTGGAACAGGTGCCAATTGCCATGGTTTTCTTTTAATTTAAATTTGAGTCTTTATTTGTCCACTTTAGGAACTTCCTCCCCTCCAAGTGAGAAAGTCGTTAGTGCTTTCCCCGTAACGACTGTGCAGTGCAGCGTATCTTCAGACTCCTTTTCCAGTACTAACTACTTCAATACTCAGTGGGTGGGAGGGAGTAACTTTATCAAAAGTAGGTTTAGTTAAACAATTTTAGAGATTCCAAAATCTTGTGAAATTCAGATATGGACTAAACATTTAATTTTTACAAGCAATGTGTTTTTATTAGGATTTGAAGTTCTCTGAACTCCAGAACCATAACAGTTTTTCTCTGGAACCCAAAGAAGTAGGAGACTGTCACTTTATTTAATTAATCTATTTATTATTTATTTATTTATTTAGAGGCCATCTCGCTCTGTCACCCTGGCTGGAGTGCAGTAGTATCATAGCTCACTGCAACCTCACACTCCTGGGCTCAAGCAATCCTCCTCTCTCAGTCTCCCATGTGGCTGGGTCTACAGGTGCCTGTCACAATGCCCAGCTAAGTTTTCTATTTTTAGTAGAGACAGGGTATTGCTGTTGCTCATGGTGGTCTGGAACTCCTGACCTCAAGCGATCCTCTTGCCTCAGCCTCCCAGAGTGCTGGAATTTACAGGCATGAGCCACTGTACCTGCCTGAGAGTGTCACTTTAAAAAGGTGTGTATTGATTAGCATACCTTCACAGTTACCCTAATTTCAGGCTTCAGCATTTAAATTTCATTTATTCATTTTATTCATCGTCAAATATTTATTGAATGCCTCCTATTCTAGACTCTCCGCATGTACAGTGAACAGATCAGGAAATTCTTGGCCCCATGGATCTTACATTTGGGGCAGTGACGACAGACAGTATAGAGATTTGTTAAAAGTATTTTACATCCTGAAAGGGCCGCAGAGAGAGCAGTGCGGGGTGAAGGGGCAGAGGCTGGTAGAGCAGGGGTGCTGCCGTTGACAGAGGGCTCAGCGCAGACCTGCAGGGCAAGCGGCATCTGGGCAGAGAGCAGAATGCAGCAGGGGCAGCTGTGCAGGCCGTAGTGTCCGGCACTCCAGGGGACTGAACTTTGTGCCAAGGCCCTGAGGACAGATGCTCTGGGCTCATTTGAGGAGCTATGCGGAGTCCAGAGTGGCTGACAAGCAAACATGGGTGTATTAGTCGCCAGGGCTACTGTCACAAAGTGCCACAAACTGAGTGGCTCAAACATCAGAAACTTCAGGCCTCGCAGTTCTAGGATCTAGAAGTCCAAGAACCAGGTGTCAGCAGGGCCGCCTCTGAAGGTGTCGGGAGGCACCTGCTCCAGGCCTGTCTCCTGGGCCCCTGGAGGTTCCTGGCTTGTGGCAGTGTGACTCTGGTCTTCACGTAGCATTCTGCCTATTTGTGTCTGTGTCCAAATTTCCCCTTTTCACAAGGACACCAGGCACACCGGATTAGGATGAGGGTCCCACCCTAGTCCAGCATGACCTCATCTTAGCTAGTTACGTCCGCAATAGCCTTTTATTCCTATAAGGCCCGTTCTGAGATACAGGGGAGTGAGGACCTCAGCATATGAAATTGAAGCAAGGGAGGGGACACAATGCAGCCCATAACGAAAGGAAAGTGGTGAAAGATGCAAAGTCAGAGAGGGGCATGGGGGTGGGGGTGGCCAGTGCAGCCACCAGAGGGTCTGTCTGACTGGGATGGGAATGAGCAGCCAGAGGAGTCTCAGGCGGGACAGCGGGACTGAGCTGGCTCTGACACGGTCACCCTGACCCCAGCCTAGAGAACGCATCAGAACGAGCAAGAGTAGAAGCAAGGGGAGCCCCGAGGAGCCTGGGGACAGACAGGACCTTCTGTTTTAATTCGTGCGATCAGGAAGGGACTCTGACGATACGGCACTGAAGACGAGACGGGGATGAAGTGAGGGCTGTGCGTGCAGGTATCTGAGGAAAGAGGGAGGCAGAACCCGTTTTCAGTAACAACTGAACATAAAGAGGCCACGTGATGAACTTAAGGCACAAGTATCACATGACTCCTGCTCAGGTGATTTGGGCCTGTACCTCGTCTGACTTTAGTTTTGATTTGGCCAAGTTGCTTTTTCTTTCCTTATTCCCGTTTTCAGAATTTTTATTCCTATTTATTTCATGTACTTTTTGTAAACTATTCCATGCCATATTTTATCTGAAATTTAGAACTGAAACTGAAAACTCAGCTCTTTATGTAAGAGAAAAATACTTCTCACGACACCTCAGAACGACGGGGCTGGGGGTGGGGGGATCAGAGCTGCTGAGGCCTCGCACCACCGCCGGCCTTGGCCTCTGAAGCAAAGGTCCTCCAGGGGGTCTTTCCCGTGGCCCGGAGTCCCGTCTGAACCATCTTGGGAGGGAAACAAACTAGCAGGGGACTTGGAATTCCCTGGACACCTAAACCACCACCCTCCCACAACGTAACGTATAGCAAAAATTGAGAAAAAGGAGAGGGTAGGATGGATCTGCATGCCATTTTGACCTAGCAACTTCAGTTCTAGGGAATTACCCAAAGGAAATCATTTAAGACTCTTAAATCATCACAGCGTGTATTAGTGGAAGAATGAAATGGCCTCAAGATCCACAGGCACAACTGTCCTTCCAGTGCCCCCTTTCAGCCCTCCTCCCATCGCCTGCCTGATTCCTGCTTCCCTGTGGGGCTCTGTTTAAACTCCACCTTCTGAGGGGAACCTGCCCTTGGCCCTGAGACTAGTTAGGGCCTCCTGTTAATTACTCATATTATCACCCTATTTCTTTTCCTGTGTAGCACTGACCACAATAATAAGGGGTTATTTGTGCAATTATTAATTTCTCCCTGTCCCCTTCTCCCCACAGACCATAATCTGTGAGAGCAGGAACTAGGTGCCTTCACGACTGTACCCTCAGAGCCAGTCTCTAGTGCAGTGATCACGCTCTCGGTAAAAACGTGTTGCTGTTGGATTTTACACTTAATTGGGTGAATTTGGTGGTCTGTGAATTATATCTCAGTAAAGCTGTTTTTTAAAAAGTTTACCATTAAAACAAATATCAGGTATGGTTCTAGCAAAAAATTAATTGATTAAAATTAAGCATCAAAGTAATGAAAATGGGAATAGAGTGGCACAAAGTGCAGTTAGAAAAAAATTACTTGAGGTTGAAAAAAATTACCTACAGGGTGAGGGTGTGTGGCAGCCCTGCCTCTGTCACGTGTGTCAGAGCCACATTTCAAGCAGCACGTGCTCACTTCACGTTGCTGTGTCACATTTTGGTAATTCTCTCAATATTTCAGACTTTTTCATAGGTCTTTTTGTTACGATCTGTGATCAGTGATGTTTGACATCACTATTATAGGTGTTTTGGGGCGCCATGAACCATGTCATATGAGACAGCAAACTTAATTGATAAATGTGTCTTGACTGTTCTGCCTACCTGCCACTCCCCCACCCCTCTCCATCTCCTATGGCCTCCCGTTCCCTGAGACACAACAATATTGAAATTGGATCAATTAGGAATGCTACGGGGGGGGGGGGGGGGGGGTCGTGGCTGATGCTTATAATCTCAGCACTCTTGGAGGCTGAGGTGGGAGAATTACTTGAGGCCAGCAACTGGAGACCAGCCTAGGCAATATAGTGAGACCACGTCTGTACAAAAAAATTAGGCAGGCATGATGGTGTGCACCTA